CTTCAGGTCAGGATCTTGCTCAATTAGATGTTTGATAGCCGCGACAACCACCCTGGATTTCAACTGTCGATGGTCTTGGAATGTTTTGGATGACACACATGTGTGTGTGTTCACCGCACGAGATATGACCCAATGTCCGAGTCTCTTGCTTTTGATGGCCCGAATCCTAGCTTTGCATCCCTCGTGTTGATTACGACATCTAACTATGATCCTCTTCGTGTTGGAATGAGTTTTGTGCCATTCAAAATGTCGAGCTATTGCTTCAGTATCAATGGTAGGGGTGGGCATTCGGTCGGTTCGGTTTGAACCGAACCGAACCAGGACATCCCGATTTTCCGATATGCCCAACGCCCCAACCGAATTCGAACCGATCTATAATTCGGTTCGGTTCGAATGCCTAGAACCGAAAAAACACAGCTGCTGAGTGCTACCCCATTTTTGCTTGCTGTGCTGCCTCGGCGTCGACGTCGGGAGGAGACTCGGCGGCCGGCAAGTGCTTGCCTGGGTGGCTGGGTCTGGGTCACTACCCACTGGGTGGGATTGCGAGAGGCGGAAAGTTGGAGACCGGTGCCTGGCGGGCGGCAGCGAGCAGCGAGGGTGAGGATCGAGTCGACTCGAGAGGAAGATGAAGCAGCCTCTCAGGTCGGGCCGTCGACGTCGCCGTGCTCGGGCGGTGGAGGAGGAGTCGCACTCGGCGTCCGGCGCTGCAATTGCGTCGGAAATTCTTGCCTTCTTTCTTTCCCTTTCGTTTTTTTTTTTTTTTTGTCAAAGCTTCTTTCCCTTCCGTTTGATTCCCTAGAAATTGCTAGGGTTGAGGACTCAAGATGGAGAATCAACAATAGAATGGAGTTGGGCTGTTGGGATTTGGGCCAAGGGAGTTGTTTTGTTGGGTGTGGGTGGCCTGGGCATTGGGTCAGTGAGGATTGGGCTAGGAGCAGAGAGGGTTGGGCTTGGGCACTTGGGTCTTGGGCTGGGCCGCTGGGTAGCTAATTTAAATTTCGGAAATTCGGTCGGCAGTTCGGTTTTTCGGTTCGGTTCAAACGAACCTGGCTCCCGAAATGTTGCATATTCCCCTCCGAATTTCGAACCTAATAAGGTTTATTTCGGTTTTGATCGGTTTTTGTTCTGTTTGGTTCGGTAAAACCGAACCGCATGCCCACCCTTAATCAATGGTGTGCCGCACCTCCTTCGTACCAAATTGTTGGCCCTGCATAAACCCAGTGAGTGGACCCCATACTGGGACCTCTGGCGGCTCCATGTCAGCGTCGGCACACAAATTTTCATATGGAATGTGATTGTAGTACGTGATAGGTACGGTCACGAGACAACTCATCATCATCTAACTCAGACTCTGGGCCTGAATCATCAGCACCTTCAAGAGGGTCGAAGCTGGCACTGGCATTGCTCTCTTCTTCTTCATCAGAAGGGTCACTAACTGGTGCTGGCAGGGCATCTTCCATCTGATCCAGATCACGAAAGGCACCTTCATAAGCTCCATAATGGTAGTTGTGAAAACTATCGCTGCCTGAATGGAAGTTGTACTCGGGTTGGTTGTCATAACGTTGGACTTCTTCTTCATATGATGGGAACGATTGATGATGACCTTCACCTCCTTCTTGGTACTGAAAGTAGGAGTGAGAATCATGGTAACTTTGGTAGGGACAATCTCCATATACTTCACCTCCACCATGGATACTAGATGTTTGACCATCTCCAAAATGACCTCCAACGCCTTCGACCGCCTCGGTGTAAACGAACATCTATACTTTGGAAAGATTATTGGACTTCAAGAACTCGAGCATGGAATCTACTTACTCCTGAGTGGTTATGAGATATTCCTCATGCCACAACGACCCCCTTGTCTGTTTGGATATCGGTACACCATACGATCAAATCTTCTCGTGTCATCCATGCAAGTAACGTCAGTACACATTTGATGGAGGTCTTCAAGCATTGATCTCGTAGCGACCTTTATTTTTATGAAAATTACCACCGATGTAACATAGCCCCTTTCCAGTCTCTTCTGTGAAACCATTCCGCCGTAACTCAAGCGTGAATTTTTGGAATGCCATCTGCAATAAAATCGTAATTCAGTTAATATTATAAAAATCACAAATCACAATAAAAAGTAATGCAAGATAAACTTACGAGTTAACATTAATCGCAAAAATAATAAAAAAGTAGGATGCTACAACACAAAATTGAAGAAGAAGAAGAAGAAGGAGAGAGGTGAAGAGAAGAGGTTTCCCATGGCTGCCTTTTATAGGCAAAATCATCACTGAAAACCGCAGGGGTAGGGGGCGTTTTCATCTGCCATGCAGCCCCACATCTGTAAACTTGCACGACAACATGCTGGATGTCAGGAAAATGGGGACGACAAACAAACCGCAGAGGGGGTGTGGTTTGTGTGTCGGCAAGGGAAATACCGCATGTTGAGGATGCGGTTTGTGTTGGAGAAACATAACCATGACCTTAACATGCGGTCTGCTAGGTCAGCCAACAAACCGCCTGGTCAAGATGCGGTTCTGCTATGTCACACTTATAACTGCTCTTCAGAGATGCGGTTTTGGCCTAGCAATTCAAATCACTTCCTCAGGATGTGGTTTCCATGTAAACCGCACCTCAGTCGTGCGGTTTTGAAAAAAAGGGCTATTTTTGGAATTTGTGTGGGCTGGGTGCTATTTTTGATTTTTTTAATGGTGCTATTTCTAGAAAAATCCCATATGTGAGATAATATTTTATATTATTATAAATATATGAACACTTAATCGGGCCAAAGCGATCGGACTATTAACCCTCAATCCACTTATTCGAGCGTACCAATGGGCTAAATCCGCTTGAAACCGTACTAAATACTAATATAGTTAACAATGAACTAATAAAAGAACAAATGATTCACAAACTTTAATATCACATAGTTGTAAACATCCATTGTAAACTTTCAATTTTCATTATATGTTGGATCCACGTGCAAACACTTACTTTAGTGTGATGTTATATGTTATTACCCATATGTGAGATAATATTTTATATTATTATAAACACATGAACAATTTAATGATTTATTCATATACCCAAACTAAATCGGGCCAAAACGAGCAGATCATTAACTCTCAATCCACTTATTCGACCGGACCAATGGGATAAACCCGCTTGAATCCTTACTAAATACTAATATAGTTAACATTGAACTAATAAAAGAACAAATGATTCGCAAACTTTAATATCACATAGTTGTAAACATCCAATGTAATAAAGTGTGGTTAGGGCTACAAATGAGTCAAGTGGCTCGCGAGCAACTCGGCGTTCGAATCAGTAAAAATTTGTTCGACACTCGGCTCGTTATTTAACAAGTAAGCTCACGAGCCGACTCGTTAGTAAACGAGCCAAGCTTGAGCTAGACCATGCTCAGCTTGATAAGCTCGTGAGCTAGCTTGACTCGATGGCTTGTTGAGCTAAGCTCGCGAGCTGGCTTGTTTAGAGCTTGTGGAAGGATTATATCTTGTTAATACGGATGTGTATGGAAGTTAGCTGTGATTTTTAGTTTCTTGTGTTCTTTTTGTCATTTTTAAATTCTTATTTTATACACATTTTTCCAGCAAGAATGATTTCAAATCGAGCTCATCTTGAGTCGAGCTTGTACTCAACTTGACAAGTTGTGTTAATGAGCATTTACCGAGCTCTAGTCTAGCTTGTACTCAAATCAAGTTTTTGCTTAGTTTGAACTCTGGCTCGTTTGCAGCTGTGTCGTACAGAGCCAAGAGTCGACTGCTCTTCATTAAGAACCCTAGTAAACCAATAATCATGCTGAAGAGGTTGAAAAGAAAAGACGAGTGGGACATTCAATTATCTATCACAGTCAAAGGCCCATACGCTGAAGCACTGAAACAAACAAAAGCAAGTCTTCTGCACTGCCCTCTACGCCCTCCTCATCAATTCATTTCATGCATTTAACTCTTCCCCTGCCTCTTTTCAAAACCCCATTCCACACTTTCCTGTCAGCAAGAAGAAAAAAAAGCAAAAAATGCCCACCCATTACCACCACGGCACCACCGAATATTTGTTTTTACAGCAAACGGAAAAACCCAGTGGCCATTTTACATTTCCACTGCATTCCTTCCAAATCAGTTGAATGAAAAGGGAAATGGGAAAAAGGGGAAAGGAAAGGTCCCCTTCCCTACTTTATGATGTCCAATTTGCTTACCACTTCTCGTGTTGTTCCTTTCAATTGTCAGCCCTCCCCACTCTGTTTTCAATTTTCGTTTCACTCTCTCTCTCTCTGTGTTCTGTGAAAAATGGGTCAGCTAGCTGGGCCTGGCTGCAGTCTTGCATTGGCTCGATTCTCCATCCCCTCTTCTTCGTCTCCCTTGCTGCTTGCAAAAAACTACTACTACTCCATTTATGCCACCATACCAAACATTTTTAGCCAAAGAATTCCTTCAGATCCCATTTCTGTTTTTCCTATTTGCGTTCTCTTGCTCTGTTTTGCTCTGCCTCTCCCTCTGTAAAATTTTGTTTTCAGCTTCTTCTGATCTTCTCCCTCCCTCCCTCCCCACCAGAAATTGAAACTGATTTCTCACATTTGGGATTTACCCTCCACCTAAAGTTTTCTTTTTTACTGCTGGATGCTGAGTTCTGACCTTCTCTCTCTTTCTTCCTCTGTTGCATATGACTTCATGGTGACATGAAAAGGGTTATTTATTTTTTGCCCACAAAATGAGTTACCCTCCTCCTCCTCCACCTTCTCCTGCTCACCACCTTGTTCATTATCATCAGCCATTTCACCCAGCAGTTATTACTACAGCTGCTGCTGCTGTAATTTTGTGGCTCTGCATTATTGCTATCCATTCTCCTCAAGTTTCCTGCTTTAACGACCTTCCTCAACAGTCTTCACCGCCCTCTTCTCCCACCAAGGCAAGCCTTTTCTTCTCTAATCTTATCTTATACCTACATGGTTATTTCCTCCATTCTTGTTCTTGACTTAATATTATTAAGATGGGTTTTTCTTCTTCTTCTTCTTCTTCTTGTTGCAGGGTTTGTTGGTGGAGGAGGAGAAGTCAAGATTGGGATCAACACCGCCGAGTTGCCACAACAAATGCAACAGCTGCCATCCTTGCATGGCGGTCCAAGTCCCGACCGTGCCGAGCCACGCCGGAGTTCAACCAGGTCCCTCTTCACGAATTGGCACCACCGAGTCGTTCGACCCGTACTACAATCCTCCTGGAAACAGGTACTCCAACTACAAGCCACTTGGGTGGAAGTGTCGCTGTGGTGATCATCTCTACAACCCTTAAATCACCGTCACAATTCTTTCTTCCTCAATCCCGATTAATCAACTTTCTTGTCTATAGCGTTTCTTCTCTGTTTTCAACTTTGATCGATAGTACTAGTTAGAAGAAAGAGGGAAGAAGAAGAAAAGCTAGTTGGGTAGTGATGAGTTTTGTCCTGTAATTTTGCATACCATTTTGTTGCATCTTTGCATACTGTAGTATCCACTACCTGTACATACGATTTGCCACATGGAGGGTTTTTTGGTTCATTTCTCTGCGTCTTATTATCTGTTGTACATATTGCGTTCAATGGGATTTTGGCCAAAATGTCTGGTTGAAAATGAATCCAACCGTCATTGTGGTTGACTCAATGAAGGTGAAAATTTAAATCAACAGTCCCAACCACCATTACATTACTGTACTCTGTATTCTGTTTTGGGTCAACACTGGCCCATTTTCATTTTTGGGTTTTGCTGATGATGCCCTGTTCTGTTAGTACTTTTGAGTTATCTTCTTGGGATTTTGCAACCGGATCTCATCTCGTCCAATCCCATCAACGTGTCTGTCCGTCGGGTAGAGTACTGTAGTAGTTATGGCTACGTTGGTTTAATACTTCAATAAATAAATGTAAGAAGTATAGGGTCAGTGCAATCAATTCAATTAAGAGAGGAAAGGTGCCCCAGATTTTCACCAAATTTGCCTGTGCCGACGTGTTGATTCCCGAAATCTTTTTGGTGAAGAACTGACGATGAATGAAGGGAAGAGTCGTCATGGGCGGTAAATACACTGTTCTTTCTTCTGATATGATTTTGTTTTGGGGTATCCAGCCCAGCCAGAGCCAGCCAGCCACGGAAAAGGATGGTTCAGTACTGTACTACATGACAACACCTTGTTTACTGTTTGCTGCAGCTGTCGTTTACTGTTGTTTAGCGTTAAGAAAGTAAACAGTCTTTTTGGGTTCTGCACATGGCCTCAACGGAGCCAAAACCAGTTTTAACCTCGGATTTGAAAGTGGCAGACTGAATTGGGATGAAAGTGGCATTTTTACTTGGCCTTCAAATTAATTTGGTTAGGGTTTTATCATTGGTTTAGTGCAATTTGGTGGAGGCATGATGCCTTACCAAATTAATGACAACCATTTTTTCTTCTTCTAATAACAGTGTTTGAGAAAACCTTATGCATTAATATGGAGGTTTCAATCCTTAAAAATGCAGTTAGTATCCAAGGGATTATCGCAGTGCATGGAAATATGCTATGGCAAGGGCAAAGAATGAGCTAATGAAACTAAGGAACTTGAAAGCGCCATGAGTTGTCGAATTTGTGCAACTGTCATGAATTGGGATGTGATAGGGTCGCGGTCTCAATAAGGTGATTGACATGATTGCATTTTCATATCATATAGATAAATTGAGGTTAAACTAAACAGTTGAACCTCATTTGACTACAACCGAACCTTGTATCGAGTTTTCTGTATGCGCCTACTCGACCTCAAATTGAATTCGGTGAAATCTAATTAAAATTGGCCAGTTTAAACATTTGAATGAGCAAGTAAATTAGCTAAATCCTTCATCTCATTTTTCTCTCAAACACTTTATGTCTCTACTTCTCACCGTGAATTTCAAACAATTGAGTTAATCCTATTTAAATATTTTGAACCTTAACCCGCGTACTAGGTCGAATAAGGGTTGAAACTATGTGTGAAAGTGAAACTGTGCCAAATCCAACACTGACCATGTCTCTACCCAAAAAACCTGGCCCTATAGGGTCAAGTATCTAACTTGACCTAGCCCGACCCTATTTTCCTTTGGCTCGTACTGGTGGCTAGTGAGTCGGCTCACATTAATAAACAATTTTTTTTTGGAAAATTACTTTTTCATACCAAACAAATTTTCTTACAATTGAGTACCTAAAATTTATGCTTTTACAAAAAGTCCATAAATTTTGGTGGTAAAATTATATTTTTTAACCTTTATATTTTTACCTTGTATTATAGTACGCAAACTCTTAAAACTTTACCAATGTGTTTGTATGACAAATTTAATATCACTAGTTGTTGTTACTTGCTATGGGTCATAGGCAAAAAATGACTCGGCTCTTACAAGATCAAAAGATGAACCAACTATAAAGTAGCCTTGTAAACAAATTAACCCAACCCGACCTTCAAAATCTGGTCGGACCTGTGCGTGTATAGGGCCAAACTTACAGCCTTAGTTGAAACTTAGTTGAATATCTTATTTAATTATGTCTTGCTCAATTCTCCATATTTACTTTTGTAAAATTGAAGTAGTCTCTCGACTCTTGCAAGTCTCTCAACTTATATATTACATACCTCTGCTTGACGGTTATTACTATGCATGTTAGGGAAAGAAATCTTGTATTTTAGTGTTCATCTAGTCCAGTTAGTATGAGATTTTTTTAGGGATGATACACAAAAGTAAAATCGTGCGGGTTTGGCCCAAAGCGAACAATATTGTACTTTAATTGAGCTGCCCGATTTCGACAAGCGGTATCCGAGTCTGGTTCGGTAGATTCGATGCGGTGAATGTACATTTGGTGAACCCTCATTTGGTGACCTCGGGATTTGAGATATGAATATGTCTGGTAGATCAAAGATGATCTACATCTGATTTAGCGGATCAAGATAGTCGTTAAGGTTAGGACAAAAAATTCGTGATTCTTATCTTGAATAGAGGATTTGTATATTAGTGCCACCTAGCCTAAACACACTCAAACGGCCTCATAAGAGTCATAACGAAGCACCATCACAACAAATCCAAGTGAGACAGACCTAATGCAGTCACGTTAACCAACCTAGCTCTACTTCTCCACAGATATGGCAGCTACCGTAGCTAGTTCCGTGAAAGATGTAGGAAGTAGGAATACCTTCACTGAATTGGTTGCATTGCCTTGCTTGAAAGAAGAATGCAGACTAGGCCACTGCTGGGTCAGTGGTGATACATAGTTTCTTTTCCCTAGTTTTCAACCTACTAAACTTTTAACCTCCTAAACTTTCACTAGACCAGTATCTTATCTTAACTTATATTATGACCGTTGTGAAGAAATTTTTTGCCACGTAGGATAAAGAGTGGAGAAAGTTGCCACGTAGGATAAAGAGTGGAGAAAGTTTTTGCCACGTGGGACAAAGAAAGCTTAACAATTTCCCATGTCATTTCTATCCTTTAACATTTTTAAGTTATTAATTACATTAAAATAAAACTAAATAAGAGTCATAACGAAGCACCATCACAACAAATCCAAGTGAGACAGACCTAATGCAGTCACGTTAACCAACCTAGCTCTACTTCTCCACAGATATGGCAGCTACCGTAGCTAGTTCCGTGAAAGATGTAGGAAGTAGGAATACCTTCACTGAATTGGTTGCATTGCCTTGCTTGAAAGAAGAATGCAGACTAGGCCACTGCTGGGTCAGTGGTGATACATAGTTTCTTTTCCCTAGTTTTCAACCTACTAAACTTTTAACCTCCTAAACTTTCACTAGACCAGTATCTTATCTTAACTTATATTATGACCGTTGTGAAGAAATTTTTTGCCACGTAGGATAAAGAGTGGAGAAAGTTGCCACGTAGGATAAAGAGTGGAGAAAGTTTTTGCCACGTGGGACAAAGAAAGCTTAACAATTTCCCATGTCATTTCTATCCTTTAACATTTTTAAGTTATTAATTACATTAAAATAAAACTAAATAAGAGTCATAACGAAGCACCATCACAACAAATCCAAGTGAGACAGACCTAATGCAGTCACGTTAACCAACCTAGCTCTACTTCTCCACAGATATGGCAGCTACCGTAGCTAGTTCCGTGAAAGATGTAGGAAGTAGGAATACCTTCACTGAATTGGTTGCATTGCCTTGCTTGAAAGAAGAATGCAGACTAGGCCACTGCTGGGTCAGTGGTGATACATAGTTTCTTTTCCCTAGTTTTCAACCTACTAAACTTTTAACCTCCTAAACTTTCACTAGACCAGTATCTTATCTTAACTTATATTATGACCGTTGTGAAGAAATTTTTTGCCACGTAGGATAAAGAGTGGAGAAAGTTGCCACGTAGGATAAAGAGTGGAGAAAGTTTTTGCCACGTGGGACAAAGAAAGCTTAACAATTTCCCATGTCATTTCTATCCTTTAACATTTTTAAGTTATTAATTACATTAAAATAAAACTAAATAAACATGTATATGTACCATCATGACTAAGATTTGAACCTGCAACCTATGAGCTCAAACTGTCATAATTTCAAGTGTTCAACCAATGAGATAAAGTTGATTTGATGTTATTAATCACAACAAAACATCTATATCAATCACCATAATTAACATGTAATCATGCAATCTAGGAGCTCAAACTGTAAACATTTCAGTTGTTTAACTAATAGAATAAAATTTCATTGATACAATTAATAACAACAAATAATACTCATTTTATAGAAAAATGGTCAACAAATAACATTTTATTTTATTTAATGGTTGACTTCTGTACATTACACAATAAAAACTATCATGGATAAAATTTTGTATTATATTTTTTAGCCATGATAGAAAATAATTAAATATTACAAATAACCTATTTTAGATTTTTAGTTTACATGTTTGATAATTTTTAAAAATAATAAAAAAACTGAGAAAGTTTGAATTTAGCTGGTATAGTACAAAATTCTAAGTTTTACATAATTTGACATGTGCTTTTTTTTAAATTGAAAAATGAAAAAGCAAATAGAAATAATAAACTTCTTTCGTATTCTAGAACAGGAAGATTTTAACTTTTTGTTTATATGAACGACAATATATAAATATGTGAACCAATACAGTTATGTTGCAATTTATTAGAAAAGAGCTACTATAATTATCCGAACTAATACACTCTTATTGCGATGTAGTAGAAAAATAATAATAATAAATTTTTGCTCACTAGATAATAGCATGAAGTAAAAATGATGCTTTGCTAAGTAAAAAACATTATCATAATAACTTATTCATATTTTCCTATACTTTAGGATTAATGAAATATA